TTACTCAGTAATAGAATAATACAATACCAGGAACGATCAATCAGCAATGAACATGTCAAACAAACGAACCGCAAAACATGCACAGAAGCGCTGTGTCGAAATCAACAAAACAACACCAAAACCAACCAAAAAATGACAACAAACAATCATATCATATCAATCCTACTTCCCGAGGGTGTATGGTCGCGCACTCACCTGATTCTGGAGAAAAAAGGGATGAAGAACACGAAGAACCCTAATCCAGAGCCTCTGATTAGGACTCGATTATCTCTTCAACCACAGCTCCAAAACAGAAGATGAAAACTGTTCTGAAAACTAGACAGAGAGATCTACACAACGGTATGTAGATTGTCCTCTGATTCCCAATGAATCGACTGGAAAACAGCCCGCAATCACACTGATCGAAACTGGAAAACCAGATATTTTAGAAACGATACCCTGAAAACAAAAGAACACAGAGAACGGAGATTACCTCCGAATCAGGATCGGAAACCTGATATAGAAACTAGATAGAAAGAGATTTCCAACGGTATAAGGATTGCCTCCTAAGTCATTTTGGTTCGATCGCAAGACCTTCCCGAAACTGACTGATCGCAGCAACAAGTCTGCACAACCCTATTGAGTTCAAACAGCCATAACTCAACGATTATTCAATGAAATGACGAACGGATTTCGGAGAACTTACCCTCAAAGTTTCACCCCAATCGTCCTTGAATTGCCCAGCCGTTTGCCCTGTCAAACACTCGGACAGAAGCTGTCCTTCACCCTCAACCACACACAACTCACAACCTCTCCTGATTCTCTCTCGAATCCTCCTCTTTCTCTGATTTTRGGCCAAAATGAGACCAACACGCGTCTGTTTCAGCCCTTATATACAAACCCTAGGGTGTCCCCTAAACCGTTCCCCAAACCGGCAAATCAGAAACCGAAACCGTCGGTCTGATTTAATGTGTGTCGCTCGACACAACKAATTGTGTCGCGCGACATAGCAATTAAAAGATGCTTCCTTCGCGAATTGAACACACATGTCCAACAACACATAACTAAAAACATATTTTTGGTTCACGGGCGTTACAAAAAACGTCTTCAAAACAGTCTTTAAACACACACTAATTGAAACTTGATATCTCTCACTTATATTTTTGAAACCTCAAAAACATAAGCTTTCTTGTTTTCTATCTTTTTATGCTTTCAATTTCTTCATGTAGGGCTAATCATTTCTGAGGTAATAATCATTTGGTTTGATGAAATGTAACGTACAGGTACTCCCACATCAGAGTCGTGCCTATTTAATAAATATGGAAACATTGGTTTAGGATATCATCTCATTTTTTATTAAAATTAGGGGCATATTGACACATATTTTTATTGTATATGGTGTAAAATTTGCTTTTCTTTTACAAATGCGTATCAAAACTCAAAGTTAATACCAATTTAAAAAAAAATATATATAATCATTATTTTCTTTCTTTGCGTTGATCCTTATTGTTTAGATTTAAGTTTAAGTCTTATTTTTCACTAACTTATTGTTTATTAGTCAATTTTTATCCCATTTATTTTTGTTAATACTTTACAACTTTAATTATATATTACTTTTTCTATATGAAGTACAATATTTCGTATAACACAGTTTTATATTATATTTACGGGTTTTATTTATTTGTAAAAGAAATTCATAAAATTATGTATTTTATTTGTTACAAATATCTCCTGTTCTATAACTCGGCTGAGTTAGCGATTTGGCGGCCGAGTTTCTGGTTGGCGGTGACCCACCGTGGCGAGATAGGGGTGATCGCAGACATTACGCGGAGGCCCGAGTTTTCACCGCATTGACCGCGTTATAACAAAAAAGGCGATTAATAAGCAAAACAGAGGGGCCAAAACTGAGTTTTCACTACCGAAATCGACACTTTTCTCGATCTGTTTTCTCGATCCCTGCGGTGCTTTGTCCTGCAAAAGATTTAACACTTCGAAACTTTTCTTCGCCATTAAAGCTTATCCTTAAGAGCATGTTTATTGTAGAGACCCAATGGGTTCATGAGCCTTTTTCGAATAAAAACAATATTTTGGGTTTCTTTTGGGTTGAGCCGTTTCAGTAGACTGAGCCTTTTGATTCGGATCAACAGAACCACGTGTCGTCATCCTATTGAACCGGGTATTTTAGGAAAATACTGAGTTTTGGACCTACATTTTTGTTCGGGTTCATCATGTAAAACGCCTCCGAGTCACGACTCCCTACGGCTCGTTCAAATCTTCCTCCCATATACAACAACTCCCCAAGCTCAGTTCCACCACCGTACACGTCATCAATACACTTCGCCGTCGTTATAACTCCGGCTCCAATCGTAACCCTAGAGACCGTGTTCAACACGCGCCAATCCGACTCGGTACACGCGCCGCCGCTAGACACCACGTAACCGCACTTCATGTTGAAGTTAATCCAGAATTGATTGCGACAAAACGATTTATGTTGAAGTTGAGAAAACTTCATGCCAATGATCATTGATAAACATACAAAAATTAGCAAAATCATATCAAGTCTCAAAGATTAAAAAAAAGAAAAATTTCAAAAAATACCAATTTTCAAGTGCCACTTTACAAAAATGTCACACTTCTGAAATTTTTACAAAAATGCCACTTTTTCAAAAAAAATTTTTTATTATTATTTATGTTTGGCAACCCTAGAGACCGTGTTCAACACGCGCCAATCTGACTCGGTATATGCGCCGCCGCTAGACACCGCATAACCGCACTTCATGTTGAAGTTAGTCCAAAATTGATTGCGACAAAAGGAATTATGTTGAAGTTGAGAAAACTTCACGCCAATGATCAATGATAAACATACAAAAATTAGCAAAATCTTATCAAGTCTCAAAGATTAAAAAAAGAGAAATTTCAAAAAATACCACTTTTCAAGTGACACTTTATAAAAATGCCACATTTTTGAAATTTTTACAAAAATGCCACTTTTTCAAAATTATTTGTTCTTTATATTATTTATGTTTGGTTAACTATGGTCTATTAGGGTTTAGTTATGAGGGTTTAGGGGGTTAGGGATCAAAACATCT